GGGCTGGGTGAGGGAGAGAGGGACACGGGATGCTGGCTGTTGGCCCTGGTTGGGCGGGGGGCGTGCAGAGCCAGCTGGTGGAGACCCAGTGGAAGTCAAATTGTGTCTCCTTCTGGGACACTGGCCACCGGGCTTGGAATGTCCCCATCACCACGTTCAAGGCCACCCCAGGCCAGCCAGAGTCCTCCGTCCAAACAGAGGCTGGTCTGCCCTGTGTTTCTAGAAAACTAGTATGCTCCGGGTATCCTTGGCAAGGACACATACTTATATTTAGAAACGAAGCCTTCTTTAGAAGGTTATAGAATGCGCACTGCTCAGGACAGGCACATCCTTCTACCCGAGTCACAAGTACAAGCTCCAGGCAGGTAATATAAACGAACACATGTTTGTTTTCCTAAGTTGTGGACAGTGTTTGGGATTCGGTAAACTGGAGAGAGGGCCCTGTCTATTGGCATTCAGAATCAGTTCAGAAAATACTGTCCGTGCCAAGCCCGACTGTCAGAGGGCTGAATGCAGCGTGTGAGCTGCCAGCTTGCAACTTCTGCTGTTTTTCTCCCTGTAGGTAGTTTTGTTTGTTTGTTTTTGTTTTTTTGAGCTTTTTTGGATGGCGTTTGTCAGGCGCTTCTGGCAGGCACTATGCCAAAGGACCTTGCTCAGGACTTTATGTACATTATCTTTTTTTTTTTTAAGATTTTATTTATTTATTTGAGAGTGCTCCTGAGCAGGGGGGAGGGGCAGAGGGAGAGGGAGAAGCAGGCTCCCTGCTGAGCAGGGAGCCCAGATGCTCAACCACCTGAGCCACCCGGGGCCCCTATACGCACTATCTTATGTAACCCACCACCCCATGAGATAAGCACATCCATTTTCCCCCTTCACAGCTGAGGAGATCAAGTCTGAGGGAGGTTAAGAATTCTGTCCAAGTCCACACGTTGAGACGGGAAGGGCAGCCAGACCTGGCTGATTCCAAAGGCATCCTCCTACTTCCCTCACTGAGATTTCTCGAACTCTGGTCCTCAGACCACTGGCATCCGAATCACCCAGGATCAGAGCCCCCACCCTAGACTTAACTGAGTTAGAATCTCTGGGGGCCCTTCCGGGGCTTCTCTTAGACTGAGAACTTTTCGAACCTACATCTTCGTCAGGCTGCCTGTGTGGCTCACTGAGGCATGGCGGGGTGTCCTTCCGGGGAAAGACGTCTCTACTCCCCAGCTTGGGGGGGTGGGTGGGGAGTCTTCCTTGGCCTTCCCCGTCCTCAGCGCATCATGGAATGCTACTTCACTTCCGCAGCCAGGGAAGAACAAGAAAGCAAATTCATGAATCATGGATCTGTTTATGTTTTGGTTGCTGAGGCTAAATATTTATTGCTTTAAGTAAGAGGTTCTGCCTTAATTAGAGTCATAACTAACCACAAGGGCACTAGAATGTGTTCTCACGACCATAAGACATGCATTTCCCCCTAGACAGCCAAATGTCACGAACACTTGTGATGTGCTGGTGCCACTGGTCAAAGTCTTAAATGGGTTTATCTGAACTGACGGGTAGCTTTTTAAATCAAAAAGTGTGTAGAAGTTTAATTTGAAATCAGAAAGTGCCTAGAAGTTCAATTTATGGACTTAACCACTATTCTTACTTCCTGTAACTAATAGGCTTACATTTATGATCCTACAGCATAAAGGTATAAAAGTATGGGCAATATAAAACTTACCCTCGGGGCACCTGACTGTCTCCGTTAGTTAAATGTACGCCTTGCGCTCAGGTCACAATCTCAGGGCCCTGGGACTGAGCGGCTGCATCTGGCTTCCTGCTCAGCAGGGAGTCTGCTTCTCCCTTTCCTCCTGTTCATTCTCTCTCTCACTCACTCTTTCACAAATAAGTAAATAAAATCTTTAAAAAACCCCAAAACTTATGCTTAAAATGCATTTAAGCCACATCTAAGTTTGAAATGCACTGTGTCCACTTCCTGACTTTGCCCCTTGCCCTCCTTGCCCTTGTCCTAGCTGGGCACTCTCCTCATTAAGTCACCAGGAGAGCTTTAGAAGACATAAATGTCCAGGTACTATCCCAGGCAAATTAAGTCATAATTTCTGGGAAAGGAAACTTGGCTTGGGTCTTTTTTAGAAGCTCCCTCAGGGATTCTAATATGTATTCAGGGATGGGTGGGAGTCACTGTCCTAGAATAATGGGTCAGGGGCTGGCTGTGTCATTAGACCTGGATTCAAATCCTGAGTCTGGCATTTGCTAGCTGTGTGACCTTTGGCCTATGACTTAACCTCTCTGAGCTTTAGTTTTTTCATCTGACGAATGGGGATAATCGTGCCTTGCTTGCAATGTTGTCATTAGAATTAAATGAGATAATGCAGCGGAGCACTTAGCATTACACTTAGAGGTACTGTAACTAGGTGCTTAGGAAGGGCTTAATAAATACTGTTACTGTAATTATTACATTTAACTCAGAATGAGTTCCTATTAGGGGGAGCAGGTAACACTGCAGAGTACTGGGGAGCGAGGGGCAGCTATTCTGGGACTCCGCTTTATCTGGTGCAGATAAACCGAAGCAAACACTGTTAGATGTTTCTAATAATCAGACGCCATAACTCTGGGGACCCACCAAAGATGCTAGTGGAATCTTTCTAAAGTTTGTCCACCTAGCAGTGCCAATGAGATACTCGAATTTACAGCAAACAATTCCATGTTGAGGGGGATTTAAGAAAAAAATTGTCTAAATTGAAGTGTAATTCACATACCGTGTTCTGTTAGTCTCAGGTGTACAATGTCATGATTCAACAAGGGGGATCTTTTTTATAAATGGCCCCTCATCCTCTGGACTCCTTTAAGATAAAATTCTGCTATAGGAAGAGGTCTGTGGGCCTGGTTAGAATATGTGTGTCTTTCTCTTAAAGCTGGAAGCCACGATGCAAACGGCCACTGGCTGGCCAGTCCCGGCAAAACAGAGGGGATCGCTACTCAAGTGGTCATACACAGCCATCCTCTTTCTCTTAACTCCGGAATCTTTCCATGTGGACTGTCCACTCTGTTGACCCACAGACTTTTTATAGCTGGCTGGGTTCCTCCTAATCCCTCCAGCTTTCAACCTGCTGCTGAAATAAGACAAACGTATTGAATGATATATTTTTTTTCCCACTGAAAACCGAATTAGGAAAATGAGTTGCTTGAAAAAAGAGCAACGCAAAGGTCATGGTGCACAGCAGAACCCCTGGTGGTGAAGGTCAGTTAGCAAAAGCATTAAGGAGGTGCTAGTGCGTCCTTCTGGAAACATGCTGGAGGCAGAGACCCAGCCCTGGTGCCCGAGCCCATGGCTGTGCCCGCCCTGCGCTCCTGCCCTCCGCATGACTGTCCTCAGAACCCTTGCACGAAGAAAGAAGCATGGCTTGCCTCTTCCAACTGGGGGCTTAACTTGTCCTTTGCATCTGACCTCAGAGATGAAGCGAGTGTCTGTTTGAATTTTGTGGAGCGTGGATATGCAAATACACAGTCCTCCTATTTTCAATGATCTGTCCCCCGGCCCAAGCTTCCATGCAGATGTCCCTCCCCGGGCCGGGGGTGGAATTATCTGCAGGGCCCTAGCAAGTGCGATTGGGGATGCTTCCTCTCTGCTCTTTGGCCTTGAGCTGCAGCATGAGGTATGCATTCCAGAGCCACGTGGGAGTGCAGTTCAGGCTCGCTGCAGCTCTGGATTCCCTGTTCCATGTGCGTGAAAAATGGAGAGTGGGCTCTGTGCGTCTTTATGGGAGGGGCGGCTCTTGACAAAGAGCTGCGCGCTTCGCATTCAGCTTGGTTTCGAGAGTCCCACACCCCTGAGCGTAAACAGCCCTGTAGACGTGAGTTGTTTTATGTTTTGTTTCTTACTTCAACACTTGGGGGACTCCAAAGCTGGTTATGAGAAAATCCCAAGAATGCCGAGCATTTCCGGTGGGGTATGCTAGGCCAGGGACTTCAAAGGTTCTGTGTGCAGCGGAGTGAGTGCAGAGCTACAGACGCCTCGGTCTTGTAGCCCCCTCCCGCCCATCATCGCCGCTTTCCTCTCTGCGCCCGCCAAACATGGGGAAGTTGCATGACCGCGGTATGCGTGAGCCACATACGGCGTTTGCCTTGGAAGGACTTTCCACACGCTAACTTTGTGGAATCCTTGGCTCAACTAGGATGAGGGTGGGGTGTGTGTGGGAGTGGTGGGGATGGTCATGGTTAATTCAATGCTACATGAATTCAGGATGTTTCCATAAAACATGACCTCATCTCTTCCAGCCCGCTGGTCATCATCATACCAGTGGTCACTTTTGACTTCGTGGTTACGAAAATAATTCCTTTAGTTACCAAAGTGGAAATTCATAGATTGCACATAGGTTGTTCTTACCCCACCCAGCACCCACCCCCCAAGAGGCAAGAGGTCGGAGCTATTACTAATGCTGTCTCCATAACATGAGAACGACTCATTAACTCAAAGAAAAACAAAGTGAAGTGAAGTAAACCAAAATACAACAATAAAATCCAGGCCAAATCAGTTGTTGGGCGTTGAGCAGATCAGATAGCTGAGGGAGTGTCAGCCTTCCTTTCTTTTCAAGTAATTGTCTTTCTTTTAAAAAATCCTAAACAGTCACATGATGTTCAGTAGGGAGAAACGTCATTTTTATTCAACCTGTTTGTTAAATATGTACCGTGTCCTTGGGAGTATGAGACTGGTGGAGTCTCACGATGGGGAGACACACCGTCAGCAAGTCAATGAACTAACCAGACAACTTAAAGTATTAGAATTGTCCTGAAGAAAATAAAGGGGTGGGGTTCAATAGAGAGTGACAGAAGCGACCGTGTACCTATGTTGAGTCCAGGACAGCAAAAGCACAGAATGGAGATGCGAGCTAGAGGAGTAAAAAGAGCTGGTTAGAAATGAAGTCCTTCGTTTGCGGGAGTGATCCAAAACTCTCAGGGGGCCTTTAGGGAAGGACCGTGGTCCTTGAGAACCAACTGTCTGTGTCCCGTCACAGGGGGAAGTCCGGCCAAGCAGACCACCTGGGAAGGAGGGCACCGGGTCCCCGCTCTGGCTTACTGGCCCGGCACAGTCCCTGCCAATGTTACCAGCACCGCCTTGTTAAGGTAAGAGAGCCGAACTCTCTTGAGATGTTGGGATGCGGCAAGAAAATCACGGACCGACGTTGAGCAGAGAGGCCTCCTCAGCCACGTGCCTTGGGCAGATGCTCCCAGGTACCCCCAGAGCTCTGAGGGCAGCTCCGATCTCCCTGTAGGCAATCCCAGGTGCTAGGGAGAGCAGCAGTGGCTCTTTTGGAGCCGTCCTCTGGAGATCACGATGGAGTGAAGAGGGGACTGGGTGGGCTTCGTGGCTGTGACGCCGAGCCAGGGTGGTAGTGTCTGCTGTCGCAGCAGCATCTGCCCTTCGGGTCTGGGCTCGGCGGAAGGGAGGGAGTAGACCGTTGAAGCCATTCCGTTCTCGGGGTTAGGGCAGGTGGCCTCAGGGGGCCCGTGCGAAGCCAGCACATCACTAGCCACGGCGGGGCTCTGTGTCCACCTGCCCTGGAGGGGAGGGAGGAGGACATGAGGCCATTCCTCCCTCCGCGAGTGAAGCTTCTCGTGAGGTGAGTTCACGGGCCGCGCCCTCTAGCAGAAGGACGTCCGTGAACGTGCGCGTCTCCCACCCGCACCCTCACCTCTGGATGAAGGCAGACCCTGGAGGCCAGGTCTCTGGCTCGTTCCGCAGCTGTGCTGTGCCATCCCGAGAGCCGTTGCCTGCAGCTCTCTGTAACCGACACTTATGATGGGAACTTGTCACTCATCCGGATGGGGACTTCCTCTCTGTGGTTCTGCTCTGTACGCTGACAAGGGGGCCTGGGTGCTGCTCATGTGCTTAGAGCTTTGCGTCTGGTTAGAGACAGATGTGTGAGGCTCTTCCCTCAGCCGAATGTGTTGTGGCCTGAAGAACACAGCCTCACAGAGGAAAACAAGCTTCTTGGGCTCCTTGCAGCATCCCGGGACCTGGTGGGGCGCGAGGAGAAAGACTGAAGCCTAGGGGAAAGCAAGGGGTGGGGGGGAGGGGGTAGGCGCCATCCCTGGCAGCCTGGGGGCCCCCAGGACTCCAGGTGAGCTCTGTACAGTATAATCAGGAGGGGGTAGCATGCTGTTGGGGGCGAGGGGGGAGCAGGTGTGACAACAACAGCTCGGGCTGCAGTCTGTGTGTCAGGCCAGCTGGGACGAGGGCCAGAAGGGCTGCTTTTTATGGGGCTGACTTGGTGCAGTCGGGCCAAGCGTTCACAGGCTGAGCTGCACATGCACGGGTCACTGGGCAGTCTCTCAAGTCCCATCGCTGAAAACCAGGCACATGCTTCTCATCTGAGAAGGGTGTTTGCACCTACGGTCAGCCACAGCACCGTGAAAACATCGTACCCTCGCATTAATGATTCAAGGCCTCAGAAGGGACAACTGATTTTTGGAATAATTTGGTTGACTGAAAAAAGCGAGTCTTGGCACAAGATAACATTTGTCTGGGGACTCTGTGGAGTTTTAAGCAGGACAAGACTGATAAGGCCCCATCAGCTCCCCGCAGGATTTTTTTGGGGGGTTAAATTTGGCCTAGTTGTAGCCAGAGAGTTTGTCCCCATAGCATTCACCCCCTTGCTGTTTCCCCACCTGAATCCATCCGTGAAAGCCGACTTGGGTGGAGTGTCCTTCCTACTAGGGCTGGCCCCCGTGGCTCTCGTCCGTGACTCCTTCAGGGTCCGCTCTAAGGAGAGGAGCCTTACGATCCGTCTTCAAGAAACTGATGAGAATACTTCATGTCCTTGGACGCCTGACCAGGCACTGGCTCCCAGAGCGCTTAGCACCTGGGCTAGTACCAGTTCCTTGAGGGGATACAGAGCTTCTTCCACAACAGAGAGAACTCCACAGAACCACTGAGAGCAAAGGTCAGAGTTCCTTAATGCCTCGGTTCTGGTGGCCCGGAGCTGTGATGGGGAGAGACAGGTTGATCTGAACACTCATGAATACAGAGAGCAAAACGTGTGTTGGGGGAGGGGGCACGGGAAGAGGGGTCCACGCTTACTCCGTTGGTTCCCAATCAGAGACACTGTGGATGTTCCATTGCATACCCATGTGACGTAACGAGGTCAAAGAAAGGTCTCACACATGTCCTGAACCCCAAAGCCCAGTGACACAATTACAGAGTGAGGGGAATTCCTTTACTCAACAAATATTTATGGTTGGGTCCAGCTGTGGGCCAAGCATTGCTCTAGGGACCAGGGATGAAGCACTGAGCAAATCAGACAGAAAGTTCCTGATGGTTAAGGAGCTAACCTACCCTCGGGAGGCCAGGGCTTTGGCAGTATCCATAAAAAGGGCCTGGTGGTTTGAACCTCAGACTCTAAGGCAGGACAGCTCAAGCCTGGCACTGTTGACATTTTGAGGAGGATCTTTCTCTGCTCGGGGGTGGGGTGGGGGGGACTGTCTTTTGCACTGTAGGAGGTTGAGCCGTGTCCCTGGCCTGTACCTGTTAGATGCCAGTGGCCCCTCCATCCCCAGCTGTGACCATCAAAACACCTCCAGGCAGCACCAGGTATGCCGGGGAGGACAGACTCGGGCCGGCTGAGCGCCAGATACAAAGAGGCAAAGCTTGTGCTCTGCATCTCTGAGCCAGAAGCCTGCTGTCTCTGTTCAGAACAGAGCATCGGAGATTCCTGTGCCAAGTATAAGGTGACCAGATCTCCTTTGGAAAAACACCTAAGGGTGCCATTGAGGCAGGAGAGCAGGTAGCCCCTCTTGGGTTACCTGCAATGGCGTCAGTTGTGTGGAAGGGTGATTGGCCTGCTTCTGCCCTGTCCCGAGGCCCAGTCCGGGACGCCGGAAGTCGAAGCCCTGAGAAGACCGCGTTCACATCAGCGTGCTGTGGTTTAGATGTCACCACGAGGGCAAGGTCTAGCCACACGCTTCCTTTCAGAGTACCCCCCACTTCCCGTGGGCAATGGGTGGTGGAGCTTGGGGAGGGAGGGGGGCTCCTCGCACCCACCCCTGCCCCAAGCCGTGCTTTGCTAGGGAACAATGTGCGTGCTTTGTGGTGGGGGCTCCTGACACTCGGGGACGCCTGTGTTGCCTGGAAGCAGTGCTGTGGGGTTCTGCTGGCCTCTAAGGGGGACCTGAGGCAGGGGCCTGGGGGAAACTGCAGCTTCTCCACCGTTCGCAGAGGGGCTCAGGCCAAGAAGGGGTGCGTTCCTACTATTCCCGGGGCTCAGCGGAAGGATTTACAACAGGAAGAAACTTAGAACGAAATGCTAAAAAGGAGCTGCTCCCCTGTCCTAGGGACAGTTCCCACTCTCCTGCGACCTGGAGGAAGTTCTGCTGTCCCCTCCTCTGTGTTCAGGCTCAAGTACCCCCCAATCCTTACCTTGGCAACCGCCTTGCCCTTCCCACTTCCCATCTTCAGATCACACCGCCTTTCCCCATATATAATGTCCCAGCTTCTAGGAAACGCTTCCCTTCCCAGCCCTTCTGCCATGGATGCGCTCCCCCAAGGACGGCCCAGCATGGCCCCTCCCCAGTTCCCATTGATACATGTCCTTTGGGGCTGCTGGGCCGCCTACTGAGCTCCGGACAGCCCATTTGCTCAGCCAGCCGGACCCCAGGGCACCTTCCCCATCGCAGGGTCTCCGTGCCCAGGTTCCTGTGGCAACACCGTGGAGAGGAGCACAAGGACACACACTCCCTCTGAACAACTTTCTGTGCACGGCCTGGCTGCAGCCATATTAAGAAGGAAAGAAGCTATTTTTCTATGGGCAGCAGAACCCCCGCCTGCTCTGATGGCAGCATCTTGTGTCACTGTGCAGAGAAACCACAGGCCCAGGGAAGCAGGGTTCCCTACCTCCAGAAGCCAGGACCGACTTGTCCCTGAGGCTAGGGTGGGGGCGGGGGGCCCAGGGCCAGGCCCATGAGATTTATAGGGATGCAAGAGATTTTTAGTTTCTTCTAAACTCGGAGAAGAAAGAACTTTTAGGTTGAAGAAAATGATTTAATATGCATTATTTCTTTATGCATCTTTCTGTCAACCCAGTTGTGAAATGGAATTTTTAATATTTTGTATGGAAGACAGGACCCACAAAGAGCCCATAAAAGGCAGAATGTGGCCTTGCCCAAAGCTTCCATCCCAAGTATCATCAGCCACAGAAACTTGAAAATGTATGTTCTGGAGGGTTTTTTTTTTGTTGTTTTTTGTTGTTTTGGGTGGTGTTGTCTCTTTCTTGAAGGTTTTAAAGACTCTCAGGACCAGTTTCTTGGATGAGGTTTAAGCTTGGGAGCAGCTCGTCTCCCTTTGGTGGCCTCCGTAGAACCAACATTTTCTCCGAGCTCACACCTCGGCTGGGGACCGGGATGGCACTGGGACCACGTGTGCCCAAGAGCCCCCTCCTCCAGGCCTAACCTCAGGGGCTTGGCTTCCTCCAGGACAGAAGGAAAGACTGGGTGACATCCTGGGCTTGGCAATCAGTGCTGGATTGGCAAGTCATCAGAGATGTTGATGATTTTCTCGTGGGCCAAGGTTTTCTTTGTGCTCTGGGTAGACAGGGTACCTCTGAGACCCTGACCAATTCTGAGATGCTAGGTCCCAGTAGCATTGGACTTCATGCTTTGATTCATTAGAAGATGTGAAGCCTCCTGATACTGGGGAGAAAACGTTAAGGCAAAAAGAGAAAGTATGCTCTACGTTCCAAAAGAGCACAGATCCTGTTTTCCTTGCACATGGATGTGACCTGTCTGTGAAGCCAGACTCTCTTAGGGGTGCAATTTAGAGAGAAAGCTTGAACCAACAGCCCCCGGCCACCGTGGCCTTCTCGGACTGCACTGCAGGGCTGTGCGCTGCCCAATTTGTCCCAGGATCCTTGGACTCTGGACAGGCTTCTGGACTGTGCTGGACCCTGTTAGTGCTTACTCAGTACTCCTTGACTTGGCCTGTGTGGGATGCCAGCTCCTGGACCGAGTATCTCCAGAGACAAGCCACCAGCTGTGTGGACCATGAAAGCTGAAGGCAAACCAGAAACATTTTGTGCCATCGTCCAGGGAGAGATTCTGCCCTGGGGGTATGGGGAGAGCAGAAGTATGCCTGAAGCTCGGGCCTGTGCCCAGCCTCAGGCAAACCAGGGCCTCTCTGTGGCTGGGGTGGAGGGGGGCTTACCTTGGCCCTGCCTCCGTGACTGCCTCGCAGCCCACTGACTCATTTGGCCTGGCCCTTGGATAGAAACAGCCTTGTTGAAAGGACAGTGCATTCGTTTACACTGGAGAGTTTTTTTCCCGACAAAGCACAGCAAGCTGGCAGGAGATGGGCCCTAGAACAGAGTAAAATTTATGTACCACATGACTTAAAAAAATCACATTAACAAAATCCACCAAAATGGTAACAGTGGCTAGCTTTGGGTAATGCACTATTTGTGCATTGTTCTCTCTTTTATATTTCTACACGTTCTATATATTTTTTCTCCTACTATAAACATCTACTATTTTGTAATGGGGAAAAAGTAACGGAAATAAAGGGGTGGACTGTTTCATGTACCACGGCATTTTAAACAAAGACTGAATATTTGTGACCCAGAGACCCAGGGAAGAAATAATGAAGTGTACCTTCTCTAGCAGGTACCTGTCACACACTGTCCCCTCTCAGCTAGTGACTGTGGCTTAGCTGGTAACAGGTAGAACCCCTTTGTTCTTAGGTCCATAGGGATGCTCTTGTGAACAGTTTTTTTTTTTTTTATTTTGTTTTTTTAAAATATCCTTTTTAAAGAAAAACAAGATTTTATTTATTTGACTAAGAGAAACAGCAAGAGAGGGGACACAAGCAGGGGGAGTGGGAGAGGGAGAAGCAGGCTTCCCGCTGAGCCTGATGGGCTTGATTCCAGGACCTGGGATCATGACCGAGATGAAGGCAGGCGCGTAACAACTGAGCCACCCAGGTGCCCCATTTTGCTTTTTTTAACAGATTTTATTTATTTAGTTGAGAAAGAGAGAGCACAAGAGGGAGGAGGGGCAGAGGGAGAGGGAGAAGGTGACTCCCCCCTGAGCAGGGAACCCAACCGAGGGCCTTGATCCCAGGACCCCGGGATCATGACCCTAAGATGAAGGCAGAGACATAACTGACTGAGCCACGCAGGTGTCCCTCTTGTGAATAATTATAACACAAGCACCCTGTGAGCCCGTTCAGAGGTCTTCTACATGCCTCCTCTGTGTGTCTTATCCACACAAAACCCCATGAGGTGGGCACTATTATCATCAAGCCCATTTTAAAGAATAGAAAATTGAGGCATTGAGAAGCCAGATAGATGCAACCTTGGGATTTGAGGCCAGGTAACTCTCAGCTGCAGGGCTTGAGTGTGAAACCACTGTGCCGTTCTTCCTCTTTGGGAAGCAGAAATCCAGGTGGAACCTGAAGAGAGGAGAGGCAGGCAGGGTGGGGGCGGGCTGTGAGGGAGAATGTCAGTGCTCAGTCTGGGCTGGCTTGGGTGGGCCTTGACCACAAGGTGGCCAGGGAGAGAGTCTGGAAATAGAGGGGGCGATGCTGTCTTGTTCTTTCTGCAGTGTGCTGGACATCTTCCCCACTGTGGTAGCTCTGGCCGGGGCCAGCCTGCCCAAGGACCGGCACTTTGATGGTTTGGATGCCTCCGAGGTGCTCTTTGGCTGGTTGCAGACTGGGCATAGGGTAAGTGGAGGAGGTGTGTGCTCTGCTCGGGCTTTTCAGGGGATGGGCCTGCTGCCTCTCATCCAGGGCCACCTTTGTGCGAAGAGAACCATCCGGGGACGGTACATGGAGGTGGCTGCGCCAGACCTAGCTTGAGAAGGCCTGGTGGATGAGGTCTTTGAGACAAACCTCTCTTTCCACTCCCCTCCCCTCTTCCCCTGCAGTCAATCCAGTTTGCCAATCCAGACTTATATTTAAATTTGGCTTAGAGCTGGTGTACAGGGGAGCTGATTCCCGATAACAGGATTTTTTCATAATTACCGAGTTCTCTGACATCGTAAGCACCTGGCACTTTTTTGTGGGAGGAGATGGCTGAGTAGTGAGAGTGACTTGTGTATCATGGGGCTCCCCCGCCAAAATGGAACTTTCTGGAAGGCAAGGATCTCACCCAAGAATTCTCAATGCACCTTGAAGTGCCTGGCCCCTAGCCAGCATGGGGTCAATGTGGATCTAATGAGTAAATGAACGCAGACACCTGAACGAAACAGCTCTTGGAAGGCAGGGCCAACGAACGCGTTATGCCCCCACCTTTCCCCCTGGCTCCCGGAGGGCCCGGCCTGTGACTGTAGCCCCTGCACCCCAGGGTCCCCTCCTCATGTATGCTGAGGCTTTCAGGGGCAGTGACAGGAAGTGTCGGGCCCGATGGCCTTTCCATGTCATTTCCGTGTGTTTTCCTTTCACCCAAAGGAAGAGGAAGTGGGCGGAGGGAACCCCAAACCCCTTTGTAGGGCCCGGCAAGCACATGGCTTCTCAGTTCAGGACCCACACATCAAAGGGTCTATTTGTGTCTTTACTGAGGATCACATGGGAGTGACTCAAATGCTGCTCAGATGTGCAGTGACCGTCACCAAAGCCGCCCCCGTACCTCAACCGTCCCCGGGCAGGCCAGCACTCTGGCCCCAAGAGGGGCCCCCCGTGCTTCTGTGAGCATTCATGCGGTTTCTGGGGTTTGTCAGTCATGCCCTCTGAAGAAGTATGGCTTCTTCTGCAATAAGGAATCTTCTAGAGCTGCCGACCCATTCAGGCTGAGTCCTGCTGAGACGCAGAGAAGCAGCAGGAAGATGGTTTCCGCCTTCAGGCTGGAGTTTGCAGTATGTGACCCTGGGGGTTATGGAAGACGTCAGTGGAGAGGTGCTCCTGAGTGTTTATTACGGCGGCTACTAATAGAATGATTGGGGTCACCAGGAAGTGCTTCAAGGACTCTGGGCTCCTTGACGTGCTCGGTCTGCCTGTGGAAGCCAGCTCCTGCGCACTCACTTCCGTTCTCAGACGCGAGAGCGCTCACTCTCCAGTTGTGCGGAGTCACCTAGGCCCAGGCTCGGGGCCTCTCTCTTGCTGGGCTAGTGCCGGCGGGGGCGGGGGGGGGGGGGGGGGGGGGGGGGCCCAGGAACCAGGTGGGAAGACGAGACCCACACAGCAGCACTGTTGGGGGTTTTTGTGGGGACAGAGGATGTGTGGGGACGCTCCCTGACCACACCCCGGGGCCCAGGAGGAAACAGCACTCAGGGGTCACCGGAAGCCTCTGATGGAATCTTCAAGAGCAAAAGCGCTCGGGTGCGGGTACCTTCGGGCCACACCCCGCCTCCCCAGCACCAGATGCCCGCAGTGTTTGTGAAGACGCTGGAGATAAGAATATTTGGAGTTTGAGGACAGCACAGGTGATCGCTGGCCCTGGATCGGGTCTTTTCTGGTCACCCGCTGGAAAGACTAGAGTAAATCGTCTTGAATTTGCTGAAAGAGAGGCCAGGAGGTGCAGGGAGTGACCGCACAGCTTTACAACCATATGCAGATGTGTATAGGCACCTTCGGGACTCCCCGTGGGTTTTTTAAGCAGCACACTGTGTGCACACTGTGACGGGTCCTGGGCTTACAAGGGTTCCAGCATGGCGTGGTTTAGAAAACCAATCCGGTTTCAAGAAGCTCAAAGTAACTCCTAGATGATCATCTCAAAAACAGCATGCAAATACGGCTCGGCAGTGCGGTTCTTCCCTATTTTGCAAATGAAGTAACCGCAAGCTGAAGAGCTCAAGCCGCCTAGAGCCAGAGGCCCACCGGCGACCTCCCTGGCCGATGTGGAGGGATTTAAAGGCAAATCATGGGCTGCCGGGTTTTCCCAAAGGGACATGGCGGGGGGGGGGGGGGGGTGGTGGTGTTTAAAACCCTTAGCGGCTACCAGCAGCCTGCGCGGTCTTGCACCTGGTCTGCATCTGGGCACTGAGGGCAACCACAGGGAGGGGTGGGGAGCCTGACTGGGGAGGCTGCCCCGGGTATCCCGCTTTCGTGTTTGCCCCGATGGAAGCACGCGAGGTTGTCACGTCCCCAGGGGTCGAGTCCTCCAGCAGCTCTAGGTCACCACCAAGTCCACAGATTGTCAGCAAAGGGAAGGCTTCTTTAATGGCTCTGCATCTGCCAGTCCAAACCGGTCTGGGGCTGCTGTGGGTCCTGAAAGACGTGGCACCTTCCAGGAGGCCATCCGTCCAGGAGCTGGGCGCTGGGTTGCAAGACTTGGGAAGTGGCATCACTTCTCTTAGGGAGGCCCCTAGTGGTGGCAGCTGCCCTGCCGGGTGGCTGGCCCCTTCTGGAGCAGGGCTTTGTAGCCCCACCTGCAACGTGTGTGCATGCGTGTGTGCGCTCGTCTGCGCGCGTGTGCACGCATGTACCACAAACCCCCGGACCTCTAGGGCCCGAGGAGACGCTCGCCTGCTTAAAACAAAATGGAACAAAGCGAACAGGTAAGGAAGGCGGGGAAGACGGTGCAGCAGGGTTGCAGAAGATAAAGTTATCTTTGAAATTCGGACCCAGTGTCCCTAGAGAGGACCAGTCTTCAGCGGTGATTCATGTGTAAATTTGCCAGCCTTCTTCCTCTGTTGATAGAAACAAGAACGCCCTGGCCAGTCTGCACGAAGGAAAACAAAACCCATCCCTGTTTCGGAGCGGGAGCCAACCTGAAGTTTTGCTTCCTCTTCCTCTTGGATTTTGGAAGTTGCCTCTGGTAACGCGGCATAAATATCCTGGACGTGGCGGCCCACCCTGACGGAATTTCTGTGACTGAGACTCAAATCATGGTCACAATTTGAACCAGCGGAGCGCGACTCCCACCTCCTGGATGTCTGAGTACGTCTTAGGTCGTTTTACCAGCCCCCCACTTCCTGCCCTCTCCAGGAGGAAACCGAACGGCCTCCTGCGGTGACGGGCTTGGCTTCCTGCAGGCCTGGCAGAAGAGTAGGTTTTGAGTTACGACTTCTTTTCCTGTTTGGAAGGAGCCTGCTGTCATCACGCTGGCTGGGGACCTTGCGGGGACTGTCACGAGAGCATAGCACGGAAGCTGCAGGTGTGGGAGGAGCCCCGCCCTCCGCGGCATCCTCTCGGAGCCGGGAAACTTGGGGGGACAGCTGTTTACTGCTCCAACAGATGTTTCTCATTTTTTTTTTTTTTTTTAGCCCCATGGAAACTTTGAATCACGTAAGCGCCTTTCCAGTGATATATATCGGTCATGGTTCATCCCAGGGCGGCCTCCCGCTTGCAGCCCAAACCCACCAACTGACCAAGGACACCGGTCATTTATTTTCTACCAAATCCTGCCCTTGGCAAAGCCCGAATTAGGTGTGTTTCTGCTCTATAGGGTGATTCTTTCATCCATGGCCTGATGAGGGAGGATTTCCTCAGTCCGAGTGTTAGGATTGAGTCAAAGGTGAGGACATCCACGTTACGCTGTGCTCACTTCTGGAGAAACCATGCCTCTCAAGGATACCTTCTCAGGCCACCCTTACTCGAGGGAGAGCCTGAAAGTCAGCTGGATGCTAAAGGAGCTGTTCTTCCAAGGAGATCTAAGGAACACCTGTGCCAGAGTCCCTGGGAAGATCTGGGAGACAGGCAGATCCCCAAGCCCCAGCGTGAACTTGAGGGCTGGGGTCCCGGCAGGTGGGTGACTGGCACGGTCACATGGAGTCCCCTGCACTTAGGACAGCCCTACAGCCGGTTTCAAGAGCTGATGCTGTGCTCTCTTGACATTCTTTGGCGTTGAACAAGCTTTCTCTCACTTTGATTTTGCCCCGGACCCTGTGCATTCGGCAGGAATCTGACGCGAGCAACAACCCACTCTGATTTAATTAACTGGCCAGATAGCTACTTCAGGGAGGCCTCCCGGGGGGGTTGGCTGGTGTGGCCCACAGGCCAGGGTTGGTCAGCATTTGGGGCCATGTTGGAGTGGGGGTGGTGGGCCGGGCACTAGATGGGAGAAAGGAATGCTTTCCGGGGAGCCACCAGCATGGCTGTCTGGTTAGGAAGTCCTACTCCTCTTCCTCAGGTACTTTTCCATCCCAACAGTGGGGCGGCTGGAGAGTACGGAGCCCTTCAGACGGTCCGCCTGGGGCGCTACAAGGCCTTCTACATCAGCGGTGAGTCAGGTGTCCCCTGCCCAGATCTTCCCGGAGGCCTCCAGGAGTGGGTGGGGGCTGGCTGCTTACAGGGAGCTCTCCGCACCCAAGGCACCCACACCCCCTGCCCCAGCACAGGCCCTCTGCCCCCACGAACAGGAAAACAAGGTCTTTCTGCCATTGGCTGACATTTCCAGCAAGCTCGGAGCCGGTCAGCACACTTAACACGGTTCCTTTCCCCTGAAGAACGTTTCATTCCATTGTTCGGCTTTAAATGCTAGTTTGGCTGAACATGAAATGGGAGCTTAGGGATATTTTAAAGTGTAATTTACTGGACAATGGACTGTTTCAGAAAATAGACTTGAGAGGTTGAGTTAGCAAACCGACAGAAGTCTCTGCATCGTGGTTCATTAGCCGACCGTCTTAAATGTACGTTGTAGAAATGCGACACTGGGTCCGTTTGGTTCTCAGAATCTTCCAATGGCTTCTTGCTGCCCATTGAGTTCAGGCTCCTTCCAGCCTGGTTCCTCACACACCTTTTCAGGGTCAGTTCTCCAAGAGCGATGGCCTTCGTCCTTGGCCTCATATCAAAACCTCTTTCAGTGGCTAGGGCCTCCCACCAAATTCTAGTACCCCGGTCAGGTCATAAAACTCCCTCTCATCTTCCCGGGTGGGTACAGTTTGGGGAACCTCTGATCATGATCACGTTCTGCCTTGTATGCCAATCATTTGGGTCCATGTTTTATTTCCCCTAATAGTTTTGAGCTTTGTAAGATATTTCATTTTTGTTGTCTTTAAGTGCTCAGCACAGCGCCTCATACCTCGCAGGGACCCTAACATTTTTCTTTCAGTGAATGAAAAACAAAAAAAAAAATAAACAAAACAAAATCTGGGACCTGGTGCAGATTCCAATTTGATTCAGTTGTTTCATGTTAGAGCATTCCAAAGAATTATAAAGAACAGAAATGATTTTCCCTCAGTGTAAATACGTGATCCCGAAGAAAAACGTGGCATAAAAACAAAACAAGTTCTTTGAGTTCATAACTTGAGGGATATTAAAAATGCCACAAGAATTATTGATTCTCCAAAGCCTAAAATACAAACCAGTCAGATATTTGCTTTGCTTTCAGATGGAAAGTTTCTAGATTACAGTCCTTACATTACATTATCTCAGAGGTATGGGTTCTCCAGGCCGAGTTAATTTCAGAAGTCACAGCCCTGCCAGAAAGCCCTTGGCCCCACGGGATTGGAATCCTGAATGTTACCATGGAGTCATTGGACTGTTCAAAAACGATCACAGTCGGACAGGAATTATGACACCCAGGGGAGGGAAGTTCTTCTTCTGAAGAGTCACCAAGTCCCGGGATTGTGAGCACGAGGATGGGGAGGACGGACCCCCAAGCATCTGGGTGTGTGTTGGGGAGGAAGAGTATGTCATGTTTTGATCCCTCCCTTCCCCTTCTCTTTGAAAATTCTCATCCTTATTACTCAAAACTGTTTCAGATAAACAACATGTCTTGACATCTACTACATTAGAGAATGATGTGGAGGGAGTTTATCCGCGAGTTTTGAGGCTTTCTCCTCTCTGGCTCCCTCCTCCTTCCTGAGATTTCTACTCATCCATTTTCTCCTGTTGTGGCAGCCCTGAGCTCTGTCCCAAAGAGCTCAAGTCAAAGGGAGGACAGTTCCTTGCCTGGGCTCTAGCTCCTCCCTGCTACGCAGGCTGAGGGGTGTCTCTGTTGGGGGATGGTCCTCTTAAATGCAGACCCAACCCCCGTGACCTCTCTCTTTCAGTGATCAAGTTCTTTTCAGTTTCTGTCTACCTTGGTAAGTTGCTGGTGCCTTCCTTTTTTTTTTTTTTTTTCCCCCCTAAATATGTTGCCTAGAATTTAGAAGTGTTATCCATAGGAGGGCTTGTTCCATGATTCTGTGGAGTGGAAGTCTTACATTTTTATAAGAGGCATTCATCGCTGGCCTTGCTCGACTGACTGCAAACCTCATTCTCTGTCTGCCCTTTCTTGGCAATGAAGAGCCAAATTGGACTCCAGATTCTAGGCAAAGACAGGGACTCTTAGGTTCTGCCGAATGACCTGAATGTCAGCCGTAGGAGGAAGACCATTAAGGAGGACAAGTAGGCAAGAGCATGGCTTTCCCTGAGCAACTGATGAGTTTCTGCCCTATTGTTTGGCTGCCAGGAAGCTCAGAGCCCAAGGAGGCATTCAGGAATTGCCGTATTTCTGATGGCTGTCCTTGGCCTGGATTCCTTTTGTTCATTCAGTTGAATTATATTAACTTCCGCCAGATACCTATTTTTTGTATGGAAAAGGTGAAAAAGAAAAAAAGTCACCTGAATCATTAAGAGCTAAGGATGCAGCCATGACTCCCATTTTTTGTTGCTCCTCTTCTGAGGCTGCCTCCATAGCCAGATTCGAATTCATACAAGAATCTCAACTGCAACCCAAAGTGAAATTACTTGCCTTGCCTTCGTGCCCCGTCCAGCTGATGAGGATTTTGGTGTTCAAGAAATCAGTGTTCGGGGGAAGAGATCTTACTTCCTCACAAAGGGTCGAGAGGAGAGATCCCTGATTGGCTGTCCTAAGGGCTCTGAAGGCAAGTTCGGGAGAAGTTCCAAGTCATTCTGGACAATGGGAGCATCCCTGGAATGAGCACCTAAAATCTCCAGGCGATTTCTTGGACAGGCAGAGCAGTCATTTGAATATTGAAGTCCTGGGCTGTTTGGATTAGTGTATGGTCCATCACTGTTCTCCTCTTCCCAACACAGGGCCAAAGCTAGTCTGATGGGGTACTTGTTGTCACCCTCTCTCTAGGCGGAGCCAGAGCCTGTGATGGGGCCGTGGGGCCCGCGCAGCGTCATGAGCCGCCTGTGATCTTTAACCTGGAAGACGATGCTGGGGAAGCTGTGCCTCTAGACAGAGACGGTGCGGAATACCAGGGCGTACTGCCCGCGGTCAGAGAGGTCCTCGCAGATGTCCTCCTAGACATTGCTGGTGACAACACCTCCAGAGCAGATTACACTCGCGATCCTTCCGTGACCCCCTGCTGCAGTCCCCACCACGTCGCCTGCCGTTGCCAGAGCGCCAGATTGCCCACCAGACCGATCTCCCCGCAGGCAGAAGGTGTTAGGAAGCGACAGGTGTTAGTTCCAGCTCCAGATGCTGTAAAACTAAGTCTCTGAATTTTGTCCTGAAGCCCCTGTGTTGTGCCCCCGGCGGCCCCTCCCGCATGTGGTGAGCCAAGAGCACCCGGACTTTGAAGCTAGACCCGGGTCAAGCCCCGGCTGTGATTCTCTGAATCTGAGGATGAAAGAAGGCGATTTAGGAAAATGCTGGCCACGTGCCCTGACACAGCACTTACTGTATTTCAGTTTCCTTTCTCTGCCCAGTTTGGCTGGTCGCCTTAGCATAGGTTCATCCCAGCTGGGGTGGAGGGCACTGCTTCTCCATCTTTAATATGCATCCCTGTCAGTTGGGAGCTTGCAGAAGTGCAGACTCTGATCTGTGGTCTGGGGGTGGGGCCCAAGAGGCTCCATTTCTGGGCGGCTGCAGGGGGGAGTCCTGAGTAGCACCGACGCAGACTAGGGCCGAGTTAGAGGTTTCCGGGTCTCAGCGCAGAAGAACCCACAGAAATCCATGGCTCCGCTCGCCTCCCTCCTCCCACTTTTAAAGATCGGAGGACTGTATTCTAAAGATTTTAGGCATCCTTCCTGCTTCCTAAAACCAGGAAGAAGTAAAAGTTGAAAACCTCAAAAAATGAATTGCCATGATTTTATTATTAGTGTCCTAAATGAGACTCAAAAGGTAATAAATGATTTATTGCAATCACTGCAAAAATACTTTGCCTGGCAGAAAACAGTCTCTCTATATGTACGTAATATACAAGAAATACAATTCAAAGAGATTTTCCTATAAGTACATTTTTACACGGCATACATTTAAAAGAATGCCCTTCATCATATAAATTCCGGTTATAGACCAATATGGTTGGTTAGCATTGACACTATGGCTGTAACATAATATTTCGGATAGCAAGATCTGTCTATAGTGTCTCTCGTATCCACTGGCAACCAGGGTAGAGGAGAGCTCGGAGAGCCGTGAACCATGTCCTGTGGCTTAAGCAGGCAGCCCCTGCCCCCCTTTCTGCACACACAACTGTACTCCATTCTTCCACCTTCCTTGTTTTCTCCAAAACCACCTGACAGGGGGTGTCCTGATTTCTGAGGTGCGCTTCTCATCAAGACTGCTTCGTTTTGCCCTTCTGACTTCCACGGCACAAGATTATCTACCAAAATCAAAACAGAATGGCCTTACTCTTTCCAGGAAGAGGCGGTTAGGCAGGCTGCATTATTAACAGATCTGAGCCCACGCGGGGTCAGCAGGGAGAGGCTGGGCACTGTGGAGATTTTCCGCATGTCCACGGACTGGCCGTCACTCGCGGCCACACAAAATCCACCCATCTTAGGTGTAGACGAGTATGGCACCGTTTCAAAAAATACTGTGTATAAAATGTGTGTACATGTGTGTGTATTTATATGTGTATGCATTTTTTTAAAGGCTCATCTTGTAAACACAGACTGCTAAATCACTACTAAAAAGTCAGTAAATACCCTTGGTCCCAATTCCCTTACTCCTGCTCACGAGAGTAAGACTAGTGTTGGAGAATACACAGACTTGTAAAGGTTGGTGTGTTCTTACAACAAAAACAGCTTCCCAAATGTGGCACCAGAAATGATCAGTTCTCTTTTCTCATTGTGTATGGAGCAGAGTAAATCTCAAGGAGATAAGAGTGATCAGAACCAGGGACATGTGAATATATTAAAAAAAACAAAAAACAAAAAACAAAAACAAGGAAAGACCCACTCGCAATGACCTGTGTTCTGAAGGCAAAGGCCCAGGGAGCCCCTCATGAGATTAGCTGGGCAAGCCCATGATCTGAGCTGAAAGAGAGGTGGTTTTAACAAGGCTGAGACTCCAAGATCTTTTCACAATCCCAGAAGTTTTTAAGAGATGTGGGCAGAGGTGTGAATTCTGGCCAAGTATCTGTAACAGGCATACTGATAGAGAATAAAGGGAAGGAGAGGAGTTGTCCACATCTCCTCTCCTGTTGGACGTCGTCGCCCATAAGGGCAGGAGATGGTCCATGTCGAGAGGAGGTCCCTGTGGCCCTCACACCTCTGACCCCCGTGTAGTGAGATGGACAAGGCTGTCTGCCGCCACACTGGGAGCCTATGGCAGCTTGGTCCTGTCCTCCCTGTGTGTCTGGAGGCTGGAGGGCAGGGCTGGGGTCTTGGTGGCCTCCATGACCCCAACCACCGGCTGTAGGGTCTAACCGGGATCTCATTCAGTGAGCAACACTCTCACTGGCAGGAAGCCATCCTTGTGTCTAAGTAAAAATCCCAGAAGCAAGTAAAACCAACTTTATGCGTTTGGTTCTTAAGAGGGAGACAGGACAAGTGGCTCATACCCAGCTTCCTGGCAGTGTTTAGGTGAACAGGCCCCTCGACAAGTTCTACCACTAGATTTTAAGCATCTCCATTTTTTTTTTTTAAACTTCAAACACATGATAGACACAGTGTACCTATTATTTTATGCAGGTTTTCTTTGGCAGGGGACCACCTCCTGAAAGCCAGTATCTGAAGTACACCAATTGTGTAAGTACAAGAGGTTGTAGAGCTTACTTTGATGACAGTTAAGGACCTAATTAATAATCTAATAGTCTCTTGTAGCAGTCACAGACTTTCACCAAAACTACTGAAACGGAACCTAGTGGGTGAAGCCTCTAAACCCGGACATAGTGGGATACAGTTATCCCCCCTACGTCTGCTCTGCTCTGGTTCCTAGAACATACAACCTCAGGTAACTGACCACCAACTCTTGAGGGGGATGGAAGAGCTCCCTTTATGGCTAGTTGGGGCATGAGAACCCGAAGGCAAAACGAATGGTTTATCAGGAGACAGCAAGCCGACAGCCGATTTTATATTTATAATGAGTATTCTTAAGAACCAGTGCTTTCCACCCCTAAAATATAAACTGGACTTGTGGCACTGGGTATGGCAATCTGCCTATTAAAAGCCAGAAATGTACCTCTCAGGTGGAAATCTGCAGAGCCTTTATGGGCAATCCCAAACCCATCCCTCTCGTCATGCACGGAGGGCCCCAAACAGCCTTTTTTTTTTTTTTTAAAAAAAAAGCTGACTAGGCTTACCAGGTTGTCCCAGGACTTCTACAAGAAAGAAACTAGACCTGGATGCCATCCTTTTGCAAATGGAATTTCAACTGATGTGAAGTAGCGCTCAGGGGAAAACACTGTAGCCCGAGACCTAAGAGGCCCCGAGGAGCCCAGTCCAGCTCCAAGAGCCTGACTCCGCAGCTCTTTGAGTCTGGGCCCAAACACAGCTTCCGAGTCTAAATGATTTCCAATGTATCTGTGCCCCACTCTAACCGTAGCTCCCAAGAGCTGTCTGCAGGTTGCTCAAAATGGAAGCTTGAAGAATCAGAAGCTAAGGAGGTCCCGGCAGCCACCCAGAGCAAGGATGCTCTCTTCAGACGGGGATGCTGGAAGAAGCCAAGCCTTGCACCGGGCCCACCAGGAGGGTGCTTGCTGCCGTAAGGGCTGAAGCAGGACGCAGGGAAATGCAGCGGAGCGCTCCACCAGGCCTCCCACCCTCTACCCGGCTGCCACGCTGGGAGCCCTGGGGAGCCCAGGGTCGGTGGTGAGAGCCGGAGGAAGGTGAGGGTCTAGCTGGCTTGCAGAGCACGGAGGCCCAGCCCTGTGAGAGCATCATCCTTAGCAAAAAGGTGGCAGTATTCTGCAAGGACATCCTTAAAGGAGCCTCAGGCAAATGGAGTTTATGCAGGCACGAATTCCCACCTCATGTGCAGCACAGAGAGTGCAAAGGAAGCCTGGTTAAAATGCCTCAAGGCTGCTGAGACTCCCTGGATTAGTATTCGGTTATTGGAATGCTGCCAGCTTTAGCCTGACACCTGCCGGCTGGTCTGTGGGGCCTGTAGCACAGGGCACCCGCCATGGCTTCGGACTATTAGAGGGGAGGTTAGCTGTTACAGCGTGAGAGGACAGGGAAAGTGACTTCGCCTCCTGCCCAAGGTGAAGGTTTCCTTCTAAGTGCACAGACTGAGCCACTCTTAGGGATTCCTAATGCTCACAGGGGGGAATTCATTCTCATCATCAAGACACACTGGTCCCGTGGCAAACTCATGTTCAGGAATAACCTCTCCTCGGAGGGCTCCGCCGTCCTCAGAATAACCTGGAAACCAAGAATGAGACATGAGAGAAGCCCCACGGTCTCCTCTTCTTACGCTATGAGCCCGGGGCGGGACCTCCAGGGAAACCACGGGAAGCTGCCTTTGCCTTCTGAATGGAGAGACCGGTGCTCGCTTCCGCAGCACACGTACTAAAATTGAACGGAGAGACTGCTTCAGAGGAGTCAGGTCCCCACGAAGTGGTTTCCAAGCCTCCGGCTGACCTCACCCACCTTCTACCCCAGGCACCGCCAACTCTCCACCTGTGGCCAGTTCTCAGAGGGGTGACACTACTTGTTGGGGAGGAGACAATTTGGGGCTCTGCCTGCCAGGTTTAGGGACCTGACTTGAAAGGCTGTTCTCACGGCCACACCTGGGAGGAGGGAAGGGGTTCAGGGAGCGTGTTCCATCCATGTGTGATGGTGCAGAGAGAAAGCACGGTCAGAAATGCGGCCCCACGGTGCCCCCGGCCAGGCCCCCCCATCCACACTCACCTGGCACCGTGGAGGCCGACGAGGTGATTGGTCTGGCTACAGTTGCTGCGTAAGACTGAGGTAATGAAGGTCTGAGGTCATTTTCTTTATTTTCTTCTGTTGTTCCTGAGCTAATCAAGCTAATTACAGCAATTGGGGTAAGGGGAGAGAAAAAAGAGATCATCACATATCCAGGCTATTGCCAGAAGGAAAAGCACCCGGAAGCTCAGGCTTGCCCACTCGAGCTTAAAGTATAGACCTATCTGGACACCGCTGGGTCATGTGACCTCCCAGGGACCTTGAACGGCCTGGGTCAATCATGCAACTCACAGTGACCCCTTTCTCTTGCTCTTGGACCACAGCGTTGCTGGCTAGTTTTATCAAATTAAAAAAAAAATGTTTAGCTTCTTTCTTCTAATGTTATCTTCTTTCTCTTATATGCACTG